CCTTCCTCAGTGGTCAGTAATACACACGTTTACAAAAAACGACAACAACACATACCAATCCTGACCAGATGTTGTTCTGTCAGGGTTGCCAGTCCTATGTAAAAACTCCTTACAAATTAAAAAAAAACCCAACACATCAGGGCAAGATGTTCTAGCCTAGACCTTCGCATATTGTGCTAGTTTTCCATTTACAAGGTTCTGGTCACTGTATCTCCAAAAGGACATTGCATAGCTTGAAAAAGTTCAGGAGAAGGCAACCAAGATGATGAGAGGGCTGGAATGCCTTCCCTATGAAGAAAGGCTGAAGTGTCTGGGACTTTTCAGTTTAGAAAAGAGAAGACTAAGGGGGCCATGATAGAGATCTATAAAATGATGCATGGGTGAGTAAAATTATGCATGAGTGAACTTCTTCTGCCTCTCCCAAAATACTGGAACTCGAGGGCATCAAATGAAGCTGATGGGCAGTAGGTTCAGGGAGGACAAAAAGAAATACTACTTTACATAGAGAGTGATTCAAATTTGGAATCCGCTGCCAGAGAATGTAGTGATGGCCACAGGAAGAAACAGCTTTAAAGGGGGATTAGATGGATTCATGGAGGATAAGTCTATCAATGGCTACTAGCCATGGTGACTAAGAGGCACTGAACCAGTGTGGTGTAGTGGTGTAGAGAGCCAATGTGGTGTAGCGGTTAAGAGCAGTGGACTCTAATCTGGAAAACCAGATTTGATTCCCCACTCCTCCACATGTAGCCAGTTGGGTGACTTTGGGTCAGTCACAGTTCTCTCAGAGCTCTCTCAGCCCCACCTACCTCACAGGGTGTCTGTTGCAGGGAGAGGAAGGGAAGGCGATTGTAAGCCTCTTTGAGACTTCTTTGAGTAGTAGAAAATTGGGCTATAAAACCAACTGTTCTTCTTCTTCGTCGTCGTCTCTGAATCCCAGAGCCAGGAGGCAGAATCAGGGGAAGGCCTCAGCCTCTATGCCCTGTTGTTGGCCGTCCAGAGGAACTGGTTGGCCACTGTGTGAGACAGGATGCCGGACTAGATGGACCACTGGTCCAATTCAGCAAGGCTCTTCTGATGTTCTTATATTCAAACTACAGTTCTTACACTCAAACTTGTGTTTTTATCAGGATATTTCAAATAGCTGCGAGGCACACGTTGATTCACACCCTTGACCCAGTTCCCGTCATTTAATGTTTATTCTTCTGTACTCCATAATTCTTTGTGTATTTCCTATACATACTCATTTCCTCCTCCTAGGACTGCAAGCTCTTCCCCTCCATTGTCTTTCTAAACGTTATCCCAAGATGTGCACGCTGATACTTTTGGTGCTATGTGCCAGAACAAAGAAAGAAAGTCTGGGACTTAGAAGTATGATTTGTCCTATGAGTTGCTGGAGATTCCCACTCAAAAAATTAGCCACCTTGGAAAATGGTAGATACAGAATTAAGGTCACCGCATGACTATGTCTAACGAATAAATTTTGTTCCTACGTGGTCCGGAAAGAAACAGAAACTTCAATATTCTCTACACTTTTCTGGTGGAGCGTAATGGGCAGGACAAAATGGTGAATGGGTGCTTATAGGTCAATGGTGCAACTTCATCACTGAGGATACGGTATAAAGTCCAAGGCAGGGCAGGCTTGTTGAAAAGAGACCAGATAAATCCATGGAAACGAGGTCTGTCAATTATGGGTTAATTTAGGGTTACCAGATGCCCTACTTTTAGAGGACACACCCTCTGTTTCTGGTGTCTGTCCTCTCAGAAACATAGAGTCTGGAGTGACCTTCAGGGTCATCTAGTCCAACCCCCTGCACAATGCAGGAAATTAAGAAATGCCTCCCCCTCCATGGCCCCAGTGACTCCTGTTCCATGCCCAGAAGATGACAAAAAACCCTCCAGGATCTCCAGCCAAACTGGCCCGGAGAACAATTGCTTCCTGACTCCAATGTGGCAATCAGAATTTCCCGGGACATGTAAGAAACGGCCATGAGAACTAAGCACTGATGGAACCCTTCCCGCCCTCCCTCTCATGAACTGCCTAAGTTCACAGAAACAGCATTGCTGTCAGATGGCCCTCTAGCCTCTGTTTGAAAACCTCCAAAGAAGGAGAGCCCACCACCAGTGTTCCCTCTAAGCTGAGTTAGTATGAGCTAGCTCACAGTTTTTTAGCCTCCAGCTCACACATTTTTGTCTTAGGCTCCAGAGGAAACTAATTTATGCAGTAATCAAATCGCTTGCTCACATCTTTAATGCCAGTAGCTCACAAATTAGATTTTTTTGCTCACAAGACTCCACAGCTTAGAGGGAGCATTGCCCACCACCTCCCGAGGAAGCCTGTTCCACTGAGGAACCACTCTTACTGTCAGGAAGTTCTTCCTAATGTTTAGCTGAAAACTCTTCTGATTTAATTTCAACTCGTTGGTTCTTGTCCGACCTTCTGGGGCAACAGAAAACAACTTCGCACCATCCTCTAGATGGCAGCCCTTCAAGTACTCATTCGTCTCCTCTCCAGGCTAAACATACCCAGCTCCTTCAGCCTTTCCTCATAGGACTTGGTCTCCAGAGCTCCCTCACCATCTTTGTTACCCTCCTCTGGACACATTCCAGCTTGCCAGGGCTATTTTTGGGCAGGAACGCACAGGAACGGAGTTCCGGCTGGCTCCTGAGTTGGCCATGCCCAGCAGGAGCTCATTAGCATAATAGGCCACACCCAACAGCAGAAACTCATTAGAATTGGCTACATTAGGGGTGTGAGGCCTAACATGCAAAGGAGTTCCTGCTACAAAAAAAGCCCTGGTTTTGAAAACAAACAAGGTAAACAGAATAACAATCAAAAGATGGGTGTGGCTGAATGACCACACTTCTGGTAACATGGGGGTGTGGCCTAATATGCTAACGAGCTGTGCTATCAGGGGCATGGCCTAATATGCTAATGAGTTCCTGCTGGGCTTTTTCTACAAAAAACCCCCTGGGTAACCCTAAGTGAAATGGAATCTCCATGTTCAGAGACAGTTGCAGAAGGGCAGCAGGGAAAGTCCTTGGGGCCTTTCCTGAGGACTTTGGCCACTGTAGGACACAAGACGTTGGACTAGATCAGGGGTGGCCAAACTTGCTTAACGTAAGAGCCACATAGAATAAATGTCAGTTGTTTGAGAGCCGCAAGACATGAACAAATTTTACACGTTTTTACTGAGAAATATGCACATTTGCTTTTTACTAACATTAAATGAGACTGCCAAAAAGAATAACAAAAGCGGTAAAAGCAGATATTGACAATGATATTTATTTGCCCAGTGATATTTGTTTGCTAATGATATTTAGCTTCCCCAGCTGCCCTGCCAGGAGCCACACAATATGTGTGAAAGAGCCTCATGCGGCTCCTGAGCCACAGTTTGGCCACCTCTGGACTAGATGGCCCTTTGGTCTGATCCAGGAGAAATCTTCTTAGATGGGGGGGAACGGACAAGATTTCTGCCTCCCATGCCAGTCTCAGGAAGGCTTGCACCTCTTTAATGCAGTACAAGTTTTCATGCGGTACCACCTCTTCCCCAAGCCCACCGAACCCACTGTGGATCACCTTTGTGCAACGTGGCAGAGTATGTAGAGGAATGCCCTTCAGGAGACACCCTGTTCCAACAATCCCTTCCACCAGCTATGTCTCACAGCCAGCTCTTAAGGAGAATCAAAGTGTGCAGCAGCAGCAGCAGCAGAAGAAGAAAAAGAAGAAGAAATTGGATTTATACCCTGCCCTTCACTCGGAGTCTCAGAGTGGCTTACAATCCCTTTCCCTTCCCAAAACAGACACCCTGTGAGGAAGGTGAGGCTGAGAGAGCTCTGACTGAGAACTGCTCTCGAGAGAACAGCTCTGAACTTGTGACTGACCCAAGGTCACACCAGCAGCTGCGTTTGGAGGCGTGGGGAATCAAACGTGGTTCTCCCAGATTAGAGTCTGCCGCTCTTAACCACTGCACCAAACTGGGTCTCCCTGGTGGGTGGCAAAAGGACAAAAAGAAGTTGAAATGCCAAAACAGATACACAATATAGTGTGTGGGGGGGTTAATTTAAAAACCCGTGTTGGTCCAGGGACAAGTCATAAGAACCAGTCAGACCTTCCAACAAGACTGCAGTAACCGGTGGAACATAACAGGGTACTGTTTTTCCCTTTGGGCAGAGAACTCACTGTTTTTCACAGCTGTGGTTTCTGCGGTCCAAGAACTTTCCTATTCACAGCGGCGCAAACTCCGAAGCCCAGCTCCTTTTTTAACGAGGTGTGAAAGGACCGTTTTCCAAGCCGTTTCTCAACTGCAGCCAAGTGCAGGAGCTTCAGGTTGTGAGATGAGTATGTGTCAATCGAACACCCCAGGGGTTGCAGATTTGGAGAGAGAGCCAAAAGAAGGTTCCACAGCTGCCTCAAAATTGTTTCTTAAAACGTTTGTGTTCAGAATACCCAGCCTTTTCCCCCGCCCCATAATGCAATGCAATTATTAGATTTATGCCACGGGCAGAAAAAGGTCGAGAACTTTTAAACTTTTCAATAAAATACTATTTTTAATACCAACTGAATAAAATACGTTCTTGCTTCCCACCCAATCTATCTCTGTTCTGTTTCTTTCCTTTCTTTCCAAGAACCCCAAAAGATCTGCTACATAATAAGGAAAAATTAGATGTTGCTGGTTGCAAAAATGTAAACTAATAAGGGTTTAGGTTCACTGGTGAAAAGTGACAATCTTTTTCTAGAACAATGCCTTAACTGGACTGAACCTCCCTGTCTCATTAACTGCACACTATTAGCATTATGGCTCACGGCTGACCCTAACAGGCTTACTCAGATGCAAGCCCCACTGAATTCAACAATCCTTACTTCACCCTGGCAATTGTCTCAAGGACTGAAGTCCCGGGCTCTGGTCCTAAGCGTGCGGCAACAAAACCCATTCAGTCGAACGGCTTTTCGTCCCCAATCAGTATGCAGGCGACGTTCATAGCGGATGAAGCCTTACCTCACCACAATTTCCATCCTTTGAAATGGCGACAACCGCAGGAAGTCATGAGATCGATTAGAAACGAAAGAAGCATCTCCTAGCTGTCGAATTTGCACCCGGGTCTGTGGCAGAGGCTGCCTGACAATCTCTTGACAGTAATACAGATTTTCAAACCGTCTCGAGGAAGCCTCCCGAAATGTGACTGGCCCCAAAGACTGGGCCGGTGACTGTACAAAAGGAAATCCTGTATTTCGTTTCTCTTCCCTTCCGAAAATATACTCAACCACAGCTTCTGGCGTGGAAACAAAGCCAACGATGACATCGTATCGATACGCTTGCCATTAAAGCAGCAGCTCAGCGTTGAGTTTTTCTTTCTCTTTAACATCAAGCCCATCTGGGTGTTGAGGCCCTGCTGGGCTTCATACAATCTTCTTCCCAGCTGAGGCTTTGAGCAGCCATGTGGTGTAGTGGTTAGAGAGCAGGGCTAAGACCAGGGAGATCCAGATTCAAGCTCTGTCTCGACCATAATGCTTCCTGGCTGATCCTGGGCCAGTTAATCACTCAGCCTCACACACCTCACTGTTTACATGGACACATGAGTCTATTGTGATGATCTGTACACCAGTTTGGTGTAGTGGCTAAGTGCGCGGACTCTAATCTGGGAGAACCGGGTTTGATTCCCCACTCCTCCACTTGCACCTGCTGATGTGACCTTGGGTCAGTCACAAGCTCTGGCACAGCTGTCCTTGAAAAAGAGCAGTTTGTGTCAGAGCTCTCTCAGCCCCACCCACCTCACAGGGTGTCTGTTGTAGGGAGGGGAAGGGAAAGGAGTTTGTAAGCCGCTCTGAGACTCCAACTGAAGGGCGGGGTATAAATCCAATCTCTTCTTCTTCTTCTAAAAAAATTAATCACGTAGGCTTCTTTTTGTAGCAGGAACTCCTTTGCATATCAGGCGACACACCCCTAAGGTAGCCAATCCTCCAAGAGCTTACAGAGCTCTTCTCACAGGGGCTACTGTAAACTCTTGGAGGATTGGCTACATTAGGGGTGTGTCGCCTAATATGCAAAGGAGTTCCTGCTACAAAAAGAGACCTCAAATAATACCGATATTCAGGGGTATTTGGATCGCCGGATACCATTTCAGGATCCAGGTTCATTTGGGGGGAGGGGATTGCAGAATTTTTTGGTTTCACTATTCCCTAAGTTGGATTTCTTTCAGGGGGGGCTAAAGTGGCAGTTTTCCAACCAAACAAGACCAGGGGAACTAATACTGCCTGTCCACTGAAGGTCCCCTCCCCAATATCAAGCAAATTGGACCAATTCTATGGGCTCCTGAACAAGGTGCCACCAGCCACCCTACTTGTCTTTTCCTATGGGGAGGGCCTGCGACCTATGCCCTACGGGAGGACCTCTGGGAGGGGCTGTGGCTCAGTGGCAGAGCATCTGCTTGGCATGCAGAAGGTCCCAGGTTCAATCCCTGGCATCTCCACTGGAAAGGACCAGGAAGTAGGTGATGCGGAAGATCTTTGTCTGAGACCCTGGAGAGCTGTGGCCTGTCTGAGTAGACAATACTGACCCTGATGGACCAAGAGTCTGATTCAGTAGAAGGCAAGCTTCATGTGTTTAAAAGTCAAAGAAGTCAATAGCCAAACACACAAGAGAAAGCAACCACTGGCCAAACTCTGCCAAATGCAAAGGGAACCAACGATCCCAAATGAACCAAGCCAAACCAGAGAATCTCAGCAGAGCCGACCAGTGCAAGGGACACGGTTGCAAGCCCAGCAAAACCAACATCAAAACAGAGAACCAAAGTGGCAAGCCCAACAGAACCAACAGCCTACCACCAGCATGCCTGTTCCCTCCCACAATGTAGCATGCAAGAGCTTCCTTTTAGGTGCTTTGGTGGGATCTGCTTGTGTTTGTTTAAATTAAGATGCCCGTCTACTTTCCTATCATCTCTCATTGAGGCGATATGGGGGGGGGGTCTTTATAAGACTGTCAAGAACAAACTCTTTCAGCACCACAGTTATTTTTTTTCTGCACAGAAGTGCTCCCCCGAGACATCTGATCCCATTGCCAGGAAGAGCTGCCCCCCTCCCATCTCCCTCACATTGCCCAGAAAACTAGTAAAATTAAAGAAAAACAGTACTGGGAGCCTTAAAATGCCAGCCCTGGATATTTTTGGATATTCCCAAATATTTCCAGAATTTTCGCTAATTCAATATTTGGTATTCCCGAGAATCCTGAATATCATCCGGGTACTCTGCGGTGGCTCAAGTGGTTAAGACGCTGAACTGCAGGCTATCAGTAGTTCAGCAGTTCGAGACCCGGGTGCCGCATGACAGAGTGAGCTCCCGTCTCTAGTTCCAGCTCCTGCCAACCTAGCAGTTCGAAAACAAGAAATTGCAAGTTGATAAATAGGGACCACTTCGGTGGGAAGGTAACAGCATTCCGTGCGCCTTGGTGTTTAGTCATGCCGGCCACATGACCACGGAAACATCTTCGGACAGCGCTGGCTCTTCGGCTTTGAAACGGAGATGAGCACCGCAACCCTAGAGTCGGATTCGACTGGCTTTCAAGCAAGGGAACCTTTACCTTACTCGAATGTACCCTGGCCAGGATAGCCTAGGTTAGCCCAGTCTTGTCAGATCTCCGAAGCTAAGTGGGGTTGAGTCTAGTTAGTATTTGGATGGGAGACCACTGAGGAAGCCCAGGTTTGCTACACAGAGGTAGGCAATGGCAAACCACCTCTGAACGTCTCTTGCCCCGGAAACTTGATGGGGTTGCCATAAGTCGGCTGTGAATTGATGGCACTTTCCACCCCCTCCCCACCCCCCATATACATGAAAAATACCAGTAAGGAATTTTACAGATATATATCCAGACCAGTGTTGTGCCTTTTTCAGGTCCAGTGGGAAGTTGGGTGGGGTGCCAGAGGGAATGACAGGGAAAACTCCTGGGTGAAGCACAGAGTCTCCACCGCCTTCCCTCCTTCCCAGGAGCAGAACCCTGGAGGTGGGGGGGGATCTCGCCTCTACCGGACAATTCAATGCCTGCTCCCAGTTGAAAGGTACCCGTCACTGAGACCCTCAAATAAGACAAAAAGGGGGAGTCAGAAAACAGAAAAGGCTGTGGAGACAAGGAGTCACTGCATTCTTTATATTTCTTTGCACAGTCAACGATCATCTATCTGCTAGCCACATAGGGCTAAAACAGGGAGACTGAAGGAGAACTCCCTTCCACTGGGAGTCATTAAAAATGGCTAATGACACTGAGTGCTTCCTAGGAGGAGCTTCTTCCCACTGGTTGTGACTGCCCTACCCTGGACCACTGGAGAAAATACTTCCTTTAAAAAAAATATTTTTATTGCTTTTATTTACTACATCCTAAGGGAAAGGAGCAAAGGAAGCTTTAAAATTAATACAGAAGCTAAATTAAGACAAGGATCATATTTCACAAATTACATTCCTATATATCAGACCTACAATAATAACAAAGGTACTACGTCAAGGTATTAATTTCTAGATTAAGCTGGCTCGAGTCTTTAATACAAATCTATAGGTGCTTTATAGTCAATTATGTTCTATTGAACTTCCAGTTTATTTTCCACGCTTTTTCTTCTTGTATTTCGTTTTAATTTTAAGTGGTTTGGGAACAGCTTCTCCTTTTTCTGAATCCGAGACCTCAGAGGTACTGCCAGAGCTACTTGATGTATTTTCTGATTCAGTCACTTTTATCATCTTCTTCGTTGTTGTCCTCAGTCTTTCTTTCATCTTTGTTCAGGTTTTGTTGCTGTTCCAAAACATTTTTCGCTTTCTGAACAGAGTCAATCTTGGTCCTTCTGGAAATGTCCATCTGTATGAAATTGAGTTATTATGAAGGACGAAAGTTAAGTCTTTGTAATGTCACCTTCGCTTCCACACCACAAATGAAATATCCTTTAAAATTTTCACTTCTTTATCTTTTACTTTCAAGGTTTTCCCAGATGTAGCTTTCAAAACAGCTTCTCTGGTAGATCTCTTGGAGAATTTCACAAAGGTAGCTTATTTTTCTTGATGAAATCCAGAGGTCATTTGGGGGGGGGATCGCGGGGGATCGCAGTTCCCCCGGGTGAAGTACGTGGGCCGGGGCACATGATGAAGCCCCGCCCCGTGCTTCCGGCCGCCCCGCTTCCGGCCCTCATTCAGCCAGGAGGAGGCAGGAGAAGAGGGAGGGTATGTTGCTTCCTCCCTGCCTCTCCCCACCCCTGCCTGCCTGGGGCCAGGGAGGGCCTTTGCGGGGCTTCCTTGCACTCCCGCCAGCCTTGCAGGTCCACCGCCGGGCCCCTCGTAAAACAGTCCAGTGGAGCCTGAGCGGTGGGTGTGGCCTTATGACACACGTCCGGTGATGTTGGGGGTGTGGCATATGCTAATGAGTTATGCTAATGAGTTCCCCTAGCTCTTTTTCTATGAAACGACCCCTGCCAGGATCCCTGGCCAAACTGGCCTTGAGAAAAATTGCTTCCTGACCCCAACGAAGAGGCATTTACAGCAGCAGTAAATGCGGAATGGAGAACCCTCACGACGGCCACTGAAGTTATAGCTGCACACCTGTGGCGACTTGATCAGGCGCCCTGGAGTTTTCGTTTCTGTAGAGGTCAATCCTACGAACACTTTCCTGAGAGTAAGTCTCATTGAATAAAATGGGATTTACTTCTGAGTAGACCCACTTAGTGGCCCCCATGTACAGATGTACAGAAGTTGTGGAGTCTTGTGAGCAAAAATTCTACTTTGTGAGCTACTGGCTTTAAAGCTGTGAGCAAGCAATTTGGCTACTGCATAAATTAGTTTGCTCTGGAGCCGTCCGTCCTGAGCCAAGACAAAAATGTGTGAGCCGGAGGCTAAAAAACCTGTGACCTAGCTCACACTAACTCAGCTTAGAGGTAACACTGATTTGGAGCACCTTCCCTTGGAGGAAAGGCTAAAACATTTGGGGCCTCCATGCTGAGAAAAAAAGAAAAGAAAAAATGATCAAGGTAGGGCTGCCAAGCCGCGGCGGGGGATCTGCACGTCTTCACAGGATCCCTGCCGCAGGGGGACAGCGATACGCATTGCACCCGTGTCGCC